TTTTTTTTTCCACTCGCTTATGACGATAACGATGATGCATGCATACGGCGAATATTCATAATCAATGAAAATCTGATGCAAAAAATTATTCCAACATTTTTGCTAACATATTAATCTGTATAATTTTTATGGATTTTTTTTCCCCCTCTCGCTTTTTATAGTTCAGCAGTGATGAAGACGGAGATTAGTTGTTGCTGAAAATATTGTTGCCTGAAATTTAACAATAATACTGCTATGATTTTACTATCATGAAACTGTAGATCAGAACTGTATTTTTTCTGATATTAGCTACTCAGTTTTTATTGTCGATGGATATGCACACAGTAAACTTGGTAATAAAATTTTGAAAATAAAGAAAAAAACGCTCTTTTCTTATTTTCAACTTAAAAGAAGAAAAAAAAAAAAAGGAAAATACCTATTTATCTGGAAAATATCCAGCGGAATACACTAAGAAATCTCGATTGAGAGAATCTTAAATGTATTTCATTTACAGCAACAAAAGATACTTGGGTAACAGTGATGTTAAGATGGAGGGCTGAAGCTCATTCCAATCATTTTAGTGATTGTATAGTGCTGAAAGTGACACTAATATTTTCCATATTTTTGTAGCCTAATCGTTTTATAGGTAGTATTGAAGAAAAAGTGAGACGGTAGAAAATATGTGTTAACAGTGACACCGGTCAAATGAATGCATTCATTCATTATAAATAAAGCGCTTATAACGTGGTAAAAAATGACGAATAATGCCGTTAATAAAAGGATTTGATGGCGATGAATTTTTTTTTTTTTGTTGGTGTGTAAGAATTCTTATAAAAGCCGCACTTCAGCATTAACACTTCTTCATTAATCATTAAGATGCTTAATATTTTTTTTTAAAAATATTATGGAATTGCTGAGGATTTTTTTAATGGCTAATCTCTGAAAGCTAAAAAATTTTTCTTTCATTTTTAGTTGATTTTTCGTTTGGGATAGGGATTTGGTATTCAGTTATTATTTGAGCACTTTTGATGAATGCTTCTTTATTCTGCTGTTTACGACGGTTATAGGATAGATGGTTTTTTAGAAGGCAAATAAGAATTTAGGTTACAAAATGGATTTTTTGTTGCTACTGTATGATAGGCAATTGGTGCATTTTTGTTTTCATTTTACGTCGTATAGTAATAACACTAATAGCTGGTAAAAGTTTTGTCGTACTTTTCAGCACTTATTAAACTGCTCTGATAGTCGTGTTTTCTGTTTCATTCTACACATCTTTAGTTTAAATTGACACTTTTTTTTTGGTTTTATAACACGATGTAACTTCGGTATTTAAATTTATCTTATTCGAGAGAAAGGTTTTTTTGTTTTCTTGTATAAAAGAATTAAGATTTATGCATAAATTTTAAATCAGTTTTTTGTTCACTATTTTTTGATTGTGTTGTTATTTCGTTACTTTCTTTTTAAATTGTAAATTGTGTAGAGTTTTAGTTTTTTCCGGTTTATTGGTCAAGATTTGGTCTCTGCGGTGAGTTGTTTTAGAAATCGTCTTTTTTCTTTCTTATTTTGTAAAAGTTGTTTACGGTAATTGAGTTATTCGATATATGCTTGAACAAGAAACGTTTATTTCTGGCCTTTCACTGTCTTTTTATTCTTTCTCTAAACAGTTCTAATTTTATGTTCGTCAACTGGTTTATATGTAGATTTAAGAGCCGAATTAGACAGATTTTTGAGAGGAATTATTTTTAGATGCCGAAATACCATAACAATAATAGTTTCAATTTTTTTGGCCTAGTATTGCCTTTGTAAAGTCTGGTATTTCATGACTGGGTAAACTTCTCGTGAAGCGCTATTACATCGAAGATTTTAAACTTTTTAAATTTTGTGCATTTTTAGCTACAAAACTCTTTTATTCAACGTTGAGGATTTTTCAACTCTCATGGCCACCGGACAACGAAGTAAACTTTTTTTTGCCGTGGAGGTTAAGTCTATATTTCCTGGAGAATTTATTTGTGTTTGTGGATCTATTCCCGAACTTGGTGAATGGATCCCATCAAAAGCATTCAAGTTATCTCAGTGTGAAAATGTCGAGTAAGTTATGACTCGTGGTTTTGTTTTTTTATAATCCAAATTTTTTGAATTTTTTACTGAGGACTGCATTAATACTTTAGAAATCGGTGGGTTGGCACTCTTGAAGTTGGTATGGAGCCGATCCAGTTTCGTTATTTTATTGGCTACTACTTGGAAAGTAGTAAAGCATCGTCTCCCAAAGTGAGCCTTTTAGTTTTATGACTCTGATGCGAAATAAGGTTGTGCCTCCTATTTTGTCTATTTCAGGAACTTGTCATCAGTAAATGGGAGACTTTCCTTCATCCGCGTCTAGTTCTTCCAGCTGTCGAAACAATATTTGGTTCATGTCGTGGAAATGTGGTCGATACATTTGGTTACAATGGTAATAATTTGGCTTTTTTTTATTTTTTTGTTTTTTTTTTTCTGGATTACTGATAGTTTTTTTCACACTTGTTTGCAGTGAGCTAAGAAAGTTATTAATATTGTGGATACTGTTGATATTGTTGAGTTGTTTTGGGATTCTTCAGTGTAGGGAATTGTTATTTCCTGCAGCGATGAGGATGCAGGTTGGAAGAATTATGGTTGGGTCTTTATGGATGTTGCTTTTAGAGGAATATCAAAATATGACGTGTGGGTGAGTAGATGTGTGTTTGGTTTTATAGGAAGAAGCATAGTGCTTCTGTATACTGTCTTGTTGAGTAGGGCTCTTCCACGTTTAGGCTGTTTATATCCAAAACTTTCTTGACTGATACGTAAAAAGGTCAACGATCAAATTGTAACTTGATGATGTTCGCATTCCTATTTTGTGCTTTTTTTTCAAGCGGTTATCTGGTTTTGAAAGTTTATATCTAAAACACGGGTACTGTGGTGAGAAAGCCATTCTGGGAATATAAAACGTTAAATTTTAGGTTACTTTTTGCTTTAATAACTGTTGCTTTATAGTGTCATTTTCACTTAGGCGAGGGTTACATAACAGTGACATTTTTCAACTGTGATAATAAAATAATATCTTTTATTTGGCTATGTGTAAAACTGAAATTCTGTTGTACGGTAGGAAGTAATAATTATTAAGTGTAGTTTTAGGAGGCGGCTTAAAGGAAAAAATTAGTTTCTGGAAACGCTTGTCTACCATTTTGGTGACTTCACCTTCTCATTGTTATGCTTCCTCGTTAGCATTCTTATTTTTCATGCTTCTTTATATTCACCGTAGAATCCTCTGAAACTTCTTGTTTGTTGAAACCCCTGTTTCTGAACCCTGGATTTTTTCAGTTAAAGATTTCTGTTATATGTAACTTTACTGAGTTTTGCTTTTGCGTGTTGCTTGTGTTGCTCAAAGGTTTTTATTAGTTTAAGTGACAGATTCCTTCTTATCGCTTAATGAGTTGTAATGAGAGTTTCATCTTATCTACGCTTCTTCATCTCTAGTTTTTTCTTTTTCTTTTCTTTTGTGGGAATTGGATGCATTCTCTTGCGAATGAAGGTATTAGTTGTTTCAGCATTTAGTTCTGTGGTGTGTGAGGAGTTATTAGGCTCTCATCATATGTTTCGCCTTTTTCCGATGTCTCGTTGAAATTTCACAAAAGATCCGGTCATAAAGAAGATACGAAGCAAATGTTATGTTGATGATTGGTGGTGGTGGTATTGGTGACATATTGACCTGCATTCGAGAGAATCCCCGTTTTTTGGGGAATTACTCGACCGATTTTGCCTTCAGCTGGCAAAGAGCTCGTTAGCGATGGTTGGCTCACCGGTGAAAATCAAACAGAAATCTTGCTACGTATTCATGGCTCACCACTCAGTTTTTACAAGGAACGGCATCAGAAACGATCCTACTCTATCAAAGTCTCGCCTTTCGATCTTAGACAGAGAGAGGTCTTTACTTTTTTAAGCTTTATTATTCCTGTTCGAGTTCTTTTTGTGATTATATTGCTGATGACATGTACGAGAAATTGTGTTGTAAGTTTACAAAGTAATTGAACCTAAAATCAGATTTAACGACAGATTACGCTCACAAAAATGGACTGCTGTCACAGCATTAGAAGTGCAGCTTTTATTTATTTATTTTTTTGCTAAAATATTTTCAAAGGGTGGGGGTTGGCTGTATGAAACTGTGTTTATTAGGTCTTTGGTTTGATCTTCTTTTCTGCTGTCGCTAACTTTATTATATGAAACTTAAGGCTGGAGGCGCTGATGATGATGATCCAGACGACAGTCAAGATGCGTTTATGCAGTCTGCTTTGCCTTCATACTCATCTACCTATCTTGCTGTATGTGTCCTGTTTTTGCAGTTACGCTATAGCTTCCTGCTAGTTTTGACGTGATTTTTGCGCAATTCTTACAGAATGCAAAATGGTTTATGCTTTGTTTTATTTTTTCCATTTTTGTCAAACAGATTTATTTTGAGGTGTTGTCAAACGACGATGATCCTTATTATCATGAACAATTATCTTACGGGAAGAAGTTTAATACTGAAACCGACTACTTTGTTTTTCGGACGAGATCGGTGGCTGTCGAGTTCTTAGTTGGTTTTATGAGGATACATTTCTAACAGATGACCAGCGTTAGTAATGGGATAACTGAGTTGGAGCATTCACTGTTGATTAGTTATGTTTTCAGGGCTTCTGTTTGGAGGTTTACGTTGCCTCCGATGATAAGGAGGGAATTCCTGAGCGGTTTGCGACAGCCTATGCTCTTCCAGCATCACTACCCAAGTCTTTTGGAGAATGTTCAATTCCTTTATTGTCAAGAACCAATCGTCCTGTTGGACAGCTTTCAGGTTGGCTTTAAGACACTGATTCGGTAGAATGCAACTGCGATGATGGAAAAGAGGGAACTTTTTCGGTAGTTAAACGAAAGCTGCAGTCAATTTACAATTAATCTGTAAAAGAAAGATCAAATGAGTTTCGAGTTATCAGTCGTTTTGCTTGTTGCAGTCGATTATCTTGTGGTTCGGCCGCTACGCAAGCCTCACCCGAAGCAAACTATGTCTGTTTCATATGCAAGACATTGGAAAAAACGGAAAACCCTTGAAGTCGGCCACAGAGGATTAGGAAATTCATATACCAAGTAAGTTGGGACAAGATTTTCCGGAGAAAGTTTTGGTTTCACATTTTATGGGTTTGTAGTGAGGTGTTAAAAGACCTGTGTCTTCAATATTCTGAATATATTTTTTTCTGATTTGTAAGTTGAGAAGATTTATTGAAAGTTTAGAATGGCTGCCGACAGAGAAAACACTATTCATTCGCTGAACGCGGCTGCGGAAAAAGGAGCAGACTTTGTGGAGTTTGACGTACAACTAACAAAAGACAAGGTGACATTGGTTGTTAACACTTTTAGAGGATAGCTCTGCGCAGAGTACTCTGCAGCTTCATTGTGGTACTGTAAAGCATTTTCAGATTCCAGTTATATTTCACGATTTTTATGTCTTGATATCAGTCGCGAGACGCTCTACAACCAATTTAGACGCTATTTCGAAAGACGGTGGAAACGATTTTCACGAACTAGCTGTGAAAGAGCTTAATTTGAAACAACTGCAGCTTTTACGGGTTTTTTTAAATAACTGTTAAAGATTAAAGCTCTGGTATTTCGACATTAAAAACGCTTTTACGCTGCAGAGTCTATGTGCGCATAGTTATTTCAGTTAGATTATTTCAAAGCGAATTCTGAGTTTGCGAAGAGAGGATTCCTGAAAGTCACTGACGATTTCGAAGATGTAGCAGAAAGGAGTCCATTTCCTACTTTAATAGATGCGCTCCGTCAAGTGGATCAATCTGTTGGTTTTAATGTCGAAGTGAAATATCCTATGATGCAAAAGGTTTTTCGCTTTTTTTCTGTTTAATTGTAGTGATGACTGTCATCATTACAACCGAATCGACTCTTGATATTTTACTTGGTTTTTTATTTTAGAACGGTCTACATGAGTGTGAGAACTATTTTGATCATAATGAATATTTGGACATAATACTTAGTGATGTTTTGACTTATGCTGGGGACAGACGTATTGTTTTTTCATCATTTGACCCGGATATTTGTATTTTGTAAGTTTTCGACTTGATGCCGTCAGTGACTTTTTTTTGTGATTTTGTTCTTTTTATATTGAAAGGATTTCATTTGCATGGTTTTTTAGACTTGCTGCTAAACAGAACAAATATCCAGTATTATTTTTGTGCGTAGGGGTGACGACTAGGTATGAACCATTTGTCGATATGCGTGCATCTACTTCAAACTCGGCAGTTAATCTTGCTGCTAGCATTGGAATACTTGTTAGTTGTTCTTTGACAGTTTTTATTTTTTACTGTTATTTCTACCTGTTTACTTCAAAAGAATTCAGGGAGTAAATTTTCACTCGGAAGATTTGCTTCGTGACCCATCACCACTTCACCGCTCAAATAATTTTGGACTTGTTTCGTTTGTATGGGGCGATGATTTAGATAACAGGGCGCATCAGGAATATTTCAAGAAGGTTTTGTTGGTCGATGGAGTCATCTACGACCGGTAACACACAATTTTTTTGCCTCGGAAGTGGAAATTGAATAATATTATTTATTTCGCATTTTCGCCTATTATGCTTTTAAAGTACTCAGGTAGTCCCACCTCTCGACATGGTCAAACGACATCTGTTGATACCATGTTTTACAAAATATTACCATTTTTTTGCCTCACCGATCACCATTTCTGTTGACGGTTGAGTAATTTGAGAAACTGAAGAAATGAAGTTTAACAGCGCCACGGACAAATTTCTTTGAACTCTTTTCCTAGGCCTTGCCTACGGCATCCTATATCACCAAACAGCTATCGTTCAAATTCTGAAACCTGTAGGCCTAAACCGCCTAGAATGTACTTCTCTGTATTGTCATGGTTTTTT